AGTGCGCGAGGTGGTTATAAAAGGCTTCTACCCCCCAGGGACGAGGTATGCTAACTCTCGCGCTATCTGGTTATTCTTGCCTCTAAAGGATTCTAACTTGAGCTTTGGAGCCCTTACGCCGGGTTCTCCCCGGAGCTTCTCTTCTCCCATTTCAGGTTCCTGTTACTCACTCCAGAGGCAAGATCGTCAACAGCTAAGATCGGCCAGATCGTGCATCATCAATATCCAATGTATATAAAATTGTTGTTAAACTGAAATGAAGATAAATATAGATAAAGTTAGTGAATTTTAGGCAGTTCAATGGAGTAATGAAGAGGAGAGAGGGAATTAAATGGCATGAGTTATTGAAGGAGAGAGTTAATTGCATAATGAACGAGAAGTGAATTAAGGGAGTTAATGGTGAGTTAATGAAATGAGATAAAAGTATTAGAGATTATTGGCCACTATCTGTTTTGTTCAAATTTACAATGGGAAAAAGTTAAAAAAAAAAAAAAACAGAAAAAAAGTGCTTCTCAAAAACAACCAGAAAAGTAATAAATGATTTTAAAAAATAACCAAAAAGCAAGAAAACATCAACATGGCACATTCTATTTTAATATATAGTTATAGATCAATCCTTATGGGAGTTGGAAATGGCAGTCAGTCTTGGAGAATGAAGATAACGAAGTATGGGTCTACAGGGAATATTAAATGGGGCCAAGGCCCTAAATGTAGCTCGCAGGGTCTGCTCCTCCGAATTCAATGCTTCACATTCCACGTAGTAATTATCAAAGTTCAAGACCAAACACTAACAGCCCATCCATTATTTATCAGTGATGATCCAACTAGGTGTGCATCTTGGATTGGGTAAGCCCAAAACCCTATTCAACGGAATTCGCATCGGCACTCCATAGAGCATGTCCCATATAATAATACATCCAATCATGTATTGTGAAAATCTCCCAATGACAAATACGAGAGATATTTTCAATGCACAGTAAGATATGCATATGGAATGCACTCTATAGGGCGTCAATCTGAACTCGCTTCAACCAGCAGGTTGGGTTGAACAAAATTGAAGGTCAGATTAGGGTTGAAGAAAGTAAATCAAACTTAATTTTTGGGTGGGCTGGCAAGTGAGAGAACAGAGGTTTGAGTAAGAAGGTAGTTACTTTGTGAGAAAAATAAAAGGAAAAGAAGAAGATAAAATGTGCAAAAGATTAGTATGACGAGTTCACATCTGAACTTGGATTCCTTACTAACTTTAATCTGCTCTCCTCTCTACTAATCCAATTAAAATACACCACCTGTCACTACCCATGCTGCAAGAGATTTAACCTTCCAACAACCGATCAGACCTTAACCTCCGTTAAAATAAATTCTTATTTTTTAGTTCCCCACAAAACATTCCTTTCCCCTTTAGCTTCCAACTTCGTACCGTACTATCAAATAATTGTTGCTTTTATTTATTTGGTGATTTTGTGACTTTCTTCTTTCCTAGCATTGTGGCTTTATAGAATAAAATAGTCATTTTCCAATTAAGGAAAGATAGCTCGGTTAAATAGGAATTTATTATTGATTTTCATAAAATACTTTCAATTAACGTTTTGAAAAATGATCCGGAAATTAAACTGTTCTGACCACCGGTTTCTGGGTTGATGGTCCAATCGTCCGATTTGAATAAACGGCCCGTTCTAACAAACAAATTAAAAAGTAAAAAAAATAGTCAAAAACTATTGAACGGGTCAAGGATTCGACCGTCCGGATCAACGGGTTGTTGACTTTTTCAATGGTTTTTGACCAAAACCGGGTTTGGGGTAAAAGGGAACTGGTTGCCTGGACAGCTCTCGGGTCAAACAGTGCGACCGTCCAAGTCAACGATAGTTCGAAAACCTTGCTTTCAATCGAACTGAAAAGGCATATATTAGCACAAGAAGCAACATGTTCATCTCTTTTAAATTAAGAACATTGAACACCATCACTGTTATAGGTTTGAGGAGCCTCAAACTAGAACCTCGTAGGGCTTATTTTGAACATTGCACTTAGTATCATCCACAAAAATGAGTCATTCTAATCGTTTGTCATGTTATGTTATCAAATTTATCAATTTCTGGGTTGAGAAGTGGAAGTGGGGAGTAAATTCCTCAACTGGGCCAAATAGATTTATATATTGCGGAGAATTCAATTAGGGATCTGTAATAGTTTCTTGTAGAACATTACCAGAAACTTGTGAAGAATATCAGATGCAATCAACTGGAGTTCGTTTCTTCAATAGATAGTTTTTACCTTGAGAATCCAAAATTGGGGAAAAACGTAAAAGTTGATAACAGATCATGTTATGTTTAACGGCTAGAAGTAAGGTTTTTAAAACCAACCCGGAGAACGAACCAATCAGGGGTCTGGTTCCTGGGTCAAACGGTCGACCTGTTCTGACAAAAGAAAAATTAAAAAATGGTCAAAACCGTTGAACGGTTCGAATAGTTTAACTGCCCAGGTCAATGGTTTGTTGACTAAATCAACGCTTTTTGGCAAAAATCCGGTTTTGAGGAAAATCAGAACCGGTCACCTGACTGGTTCCCAGTTTTTCCGGTCTAGTTTGGTTTTGAAAACCGTGGCTAGGAGTTTTAAGATGCAGGATGCTAGTTAGCTTGGTTTGAAATTTGTCATTTTTGGAAACTCCTACTTAGCACACGAGAGAGAGGAAAGGAAAGGAGAGTACATATTATGCATAAAAAATAGATATTTTGTTTATAAAAAGTAGTATGCAACGGAGGTTAAGGTTTAGTGGGTTATTGGAAGGCTAAATCTCTTGTAACATGGGTAGGGACAGGTGGTGTATTTTAATTGGGTTAGTAGAGAGAAGAGTAGATAAAAGTTAGTAGAATATCCGAACACTTTACATCTCTACCCCACAACATCCTATAGCACATTCCCGCTGCGTATTGGGAATATCTCCCGATGATAATACGAGAACCGATGATGTCATCATCAGGAGATGTTCCTAATACACGACGGGGATGTGTTGTGGGACGTTATGGGGTGGGCCCTTGTAGGGTGGAGATGTGAACTCTTGTATGACATATATAGGTGTGATGACATTCAAAGCACCAAAACTTTGTCCCAATATATAGTTAATCTTAAGGCAAACTATGGTGCATCAAATGAACCGTTGTTGACACAACAGATTTAACTGTCACCCAACCATGATTCTAGATTTGTTCTCCTAAAATCCGCACTTTGATAAAAACCGTTGAACTGATAAAAAAACTGACCAACTCAGGCGATTGAACCGTTTACCCACGATCCAGAGGCAAAAAAATAATTCAACCTCTGGGTTGGTTTTTAAAATTGACCCCAACCCAACCCACAAAGTCATCAGATTGGATTGGGGTCAACAACTCGGCTGGATTATCCGGCCTAACCTAGTCCAACTTGCAGCCCTAGATCGCACTGCTTGATAATAGCTTGGTCTGGAAAGGAGAAAATTCTTTGGTAAAAACGGCTAGCTAGCTGATCCCTATGAAATGGGCTTGTAGGGTTACTAGATGAGTTAGGCCGACCGGATGGTGTCCCTCTTCTCCTACCCCACAAATGATCACACTCCACACACTTCTCCCAAACACCTAACAAACTTGCAACTTAAGAACCCTTGACGGTAGAATGGAGCAACCAAAACTTCTGTATGCACACAACATGATTATAATTGCACCTACATTTGGAAAACAACAGTTGAAAGAGCTAGACAGACAGACATAGTAAAGTGGAGAAAGAGAAGAAGATAGAAGAGAGAAGAGATGAGATGTGAGGAGCTCACCGATAACATCAGTAGTAGTTTTGCCATTGCGAAACCTTCCAGTTGGTCCGCCATCGAAGTCGATGCCGTAGGGCATGTAATCAGCTCTAGCCAACGACGAGAGCTGGTTGTTGTTTCCATCATCAACCAAGGAATCACCAAATATGAAGTAACATGGCACCTCTGCCTCTGCCTGCACCACCCTACCACCCCACAAGTTTACCCCACCTGCTGCCAACACCAACACCACCGTACACACCTTCCACATTTTCTTCTTCACCACCTCACACCCCATGAAGCAGCTTGCAGTAAATTAAGCTAGGAGGAAGAAGAAAAGATGAAGAGAAACGATAGTACAAAACAGAAAAGAAGAGAACAAAAGAGGCAAGAGAGGAAGAAATTAAAGGGTATATTTTTGTGCATGACAAACTAAAAGCTGAAGAGAGGAATATATAGGTAGTCTCATCAAGAGAGAGGGAGTTCTGGTAGTAATGAACAAGATTCGTTGATGCCACTGTTTTTTTCTTTTACAGTTGATGGAGTTGGTCGATGCACTAATTTCACGCCGACAAGATCTGTGCAGAATGAATCAATGTTTTAAAAAATGACTTGAAATTGGAACTGTTCTGGCCATTGGTTTTCAGGTCGACAGTTTGACCGTCCAGTTCAAATGGATGGTCCATTCTCACAAAAAAATTAAAATAAAAAACATTCAAAAACTGTTAAACGAGTCAAATGAATCATTGATCGATTCAATAGTTTTTGTTCAAGAACCGGATTTGGGGTAAAATAAAACCGATTGTTTGAATGGTTCCCGAGCAAAATGGTCTGACCGTTTAGGTCAACAGCAGTTGGAAAACCATGGAATGAGTAATGGTGACTGCAGGCTGTATATATTTTTCAAGTCTTTTGTGTAAGTCACAGTGGAATTGCATATTCCAGTAATTAGCGAATTATGTGTTTAATTAAAGGGTTCATTTCGTTGTTAATTAAGGTGTAGATCGAACATTTACTTGCATATATAGAACACCATGAGAGTTAAGAGAAACTAATTAAGTCTGAGGTGTTCAAATAATTAAAAGAAGACAGTAACCCATATAAAGTATTCTTTCTAAACACAAAAGCGATATAATCATGAGTTTAAAAGAATAAAATTTGTTTCTTCTTTTTATAAAGATGCCACTCTCATTGACAAATTACAACATATATCTAACTTTGAAAAATATTAATTTTCAACAATGTCAGATATTTCGTCATATATTTTATTATAGAGCAGGGTTGCATACAGGATACAACCTTGATTACACTGCATTTAAATTTGATTTAAATTGAATATCTGTTGCAAAGGTTAATTTGAAGGGTCCAATATTGTTAGAGGTAGAGTAGAAGTATGATGCATTAACAGTCCAATGTTAAATCTAGATCTCAACCAATTGCATTAAAAGTCTGTCTATTTTTCACTGGTTCATAAAGTGTATTTTCACATTTAATAAGGTGTTTTGAATTGGGCTAGAAATGCAAATCAATTCCTCTAGGATAGGAAGAAATAGATGTGCCAATTTGCTTGCTAAAATGAGCTTAGTGAAAGGGGTCTTCATGTTTCCTCTACCGCGTGATCTCAGGAATTCTTTGGATGATTGTATTTATGTTCTTTTTGTTTGTTTTGTTGCTGGATTTCGGATTACTGTATTTATGTTCTTTTTATATATTGCTTTCTGGATCAAACGGTTCAACCATCTGGTCTAAATGATCAGCTTGTGACAGTTATCTGGGTTGAACTATTTAGGGGTAGATCTTTTTGTGGGGAACAAATACTCTTCCCTAATTGTAGGTTGTTTGGCAATGACATGGTCTTTTGGTTTTCTTTTGAGATATACTTTCGTGGAAGAAAGCCAGCCTTGTATTTTGGAGAATAAATATAATGTATATGTTTGGTTTCATGAACATTTATAGATGGGCCATTTATTGCTTTAAATGTTTATTTATACAACTTACTTCAAATGTTTCTTGCTCTTGTTGTTTGGCTGGGCATTACTTTAAATGTTTTTTACTTCCACCTTAAATTAATATCCCATAAAAGTGTGTCATATAAGCATTTCATTTCAAGAAATGCTGGGATGTTGGGGGAACCAAAAATTTGACGTTTTCCCAAATGCCTGGTGCACAAAAATCCAAGTGTTTATTTGATAAATGGTGAAACCAAATAGTGGTATGTAGCGCTAACATGGTGGGATTTTTTCAATAAACGGCCACGATACCAAACACCCTCATATTGAGATCTATTTTAACATCCTTATGCTCCATCTTGGTTTAATAATAATCAACTTAGAAATGAGGAAGATTTTTACTCGATGTCCAATTAAGAGGGTAACTAGTACACACATTGTTTTAAAAGGCTTAAGCCTTGAGGCATGAGACTTACGCTTTGAGGTAAGGTGCACATATTTTGTCTCAAGGCTTAAGCCTCACAACTTTGATGTGAGGTTTAAGCCTTTGTCAGGATGAGGCATAAGCCTCAAGCCTCAAGACGTGAAGCATATCTTGGGCATAAAAAGGCGTAAGCCTTAATTATTAGTGATTATTTAGCAATTTGATGCAAAAAATATATATTTGATGCATTTTTTTGTTTAAAATATATGAAAAAAGTATGTCAATAGTTATGAGCCAAATAAATAAAAACTAAAAAATAAAAAATCAATTGGGGAAATCAAGTTCAATTGGTTTCTCTTAGTGTTTTAAGAGAGTTTAATGCAAAACAAGCCAATCAAGTTCTTAATTTCTCTTGGATATATCAAGTGATTTATCTTATTATTCTAATTCTAACATCCTAGTTTGTTATTTTTCTCATTTCTTTTACTTGTGTATTTATTTTCTTTTTTATAGATTTTTTTACTTAGACCAAATTAACAAATTTATTTTCTTTCTTCTAAACTATTGAATGACCATAAATCTTATGGATGATTCTTCATATGTTTCCTTTCTTCCAAATTGGTCGTTTGAATTATTTGAAACTTTACATTTTTAAACATGAAATGTAAAACATTTATAATTGTTAGCTGCTTGGTTATTATTCTACTTAATGCTTAACTACTAAAACTTATTGCTTATAAACTTTTATTTTATAGATATTTATACCTTCTATCATTCTAACTTAGCATATTATATGGTATGTTTAACAATTCATAAACTTTAATTAGTTTTACTCTTAAGTTTTCAGAATTATGCCTCACGTTTTGGGCCATTACACCTCAACTACACCTTTACCCTTTTAAAACCTTGAGTACTCAATCTCTAAGATGATCCATCTCTTCTAGAGTGATAATTAGACCTGTAAACAGGCCGAGCTTTGGGCCTGATTTTCCACTATGTCAGGCACAGGATTTGGGCCGGGCCCATTCAAATTTTTACAAAACCAAGCCGGAGCCCAGCCCATGAACAGGTCTGGTGGCAATTAATGGGGAAATTCATAATGAAAACAGCACTGAATGTGAGGGGTCACAGAGCTTTTTTAATGGCCTCTAGCTGGTGATACTCTATATCATTTCCTATTTTGAGGCTAAACAAAGATGAAGTAGTTTCCACTTTCCAATAACAGAAAGGAATCTTCTATGACATGCTTGGTGCCAAAACTTCCTTTTACATTGCTTTTGGTTTGTGAGATGGGATGGGAAAAAAATAAACATTTTTCTTTTCGTATATTTGGTTTGTAGGATGTCATGAGATGGGATGGAGATCGGAAAAAAAAATGGAATTACAGTTCTCAAGTTTTAAGGAGTGGAGTCATACACCATTTCGGTGTGAAAAAAAAAAGTGGGAAGACTTGTTTGACATGGGAAAAAAACACCTTTCATGCGATATTTTTAAGACCGAGTTAGGATGGGGCCACTTTTGTGTCTAAGTTATGGGTTAGTGGTTCACCCGTTTGGGTCAAATGGATAAACTTGTGATGTCATAATTATGTAATAACACCATAATAAATAAATAACAATACAAAAATATCAGAAAATACAGAAAATTGTAGAAAGAATCAACATATTTTAATATTATATAAATATAGATATATATGATGAATAAGAATTACCTCTATTAATGACAACAAATGTTAATATGCAAAAGACAAAAAATTCGAATCCATATTTGACCTGTAACCTATTAATTTGACCAAACGGTTTAATGGTTCAACCAATTAGGTCATATGGTGATATGGATCAACAATTAAATAGTAAACCCACATCTCTACTTTGTTGGGTTTGAGTTAGCCTTAATCAGGTTTCAGTGTGGTTTGGGTCAACCAGGACTGGCCGGCAGTTGGGTTGGGGCTGAAGTAGACTGTAGATCCATTATGAACCCCATCTCTGTGGTATCATCAAGTCATAGCTTTCTTTCTTTTCCATATTGTCATTATGATGCTTCTGGTCTTAGACACTTTGGTGTCGTGTAAACCTCCTTTTTCTTGGAAGGTCAAAATTGGTGACTTTGTTGCTTTACACAGTCAACCCAGGTTCAAATTTTTTCTTTTATTTAATCAGAGGCTTGGGTTAATGGTACAAATTAGGTACCTGATTTTAATATTTTATATTGGGCCTACGTTTCCAGCCCAAGCCCATTCAAATTTTGATAAAACCCCAAGCTAAGCCCACCCAGGTTACACCCCTGGCTTGGGTTGTGGCAGGTCAATACCGAACCTGAACAGTTGCCATCCCTTCTTTAGGTTGTGTTTATTTCATTATTTGTTATGACAATTGCACTCCAGTTCAATTTTGTGCTCTTTTATTTGAGATACAAATTTCCCTAAGGCTGCATTCGGTAAGAATGCAAAAAGCATATGGATTGATGTAAATGCAAACTAATTTGGTCAAGAAGTGAGAAAATGAAAACATGGTGTGTTGTTTTGTATTGGTAAATTTTGTTGTATCGGCTGTGATGGGTACAAACATAAATTTCAAAACTACAAACTAACTAGCTTTTTTACATTAATCAACATTGAGTGCAAAAATTGCTTCTATTTTTATGAAAGCAAAATTTGTTCCTATTATGAATGCAAAAATGTCAGGATAAAAAAGAAAAAATTTACTTTCACTTTTCAGTACAAAGGAAAATTCTTCTCAAAGAATTGGAAAAACCTAACCAGAATATAAATTTGCCTCAATTTTGCATTTGCACTCGTACTAAATCAAGCCAAATAAACGAAAATTATTGGGCCATGGCTGAATTGGTTTAACATTAATCATTTTATTGGAATGCATGAAGAACATTCAACAAGCCATGTCTTTAATTAGGGATTTGCAAATGCAT